TCGCTGTTGTATATTTCCCTGGAGATGATGTCTCTTTTGATCATTCTGTGTGCGTCTGACTGACGGGGATTTTAGCGTACCTCAGGCTGTGGACGAGCAGTTAAGTTATTTCGGTGGAGTTTTATGTAATGGAGACATTCAAACGAGGAATCATTATCATCCCTTACTTATTGCAATTTCATGGTATATTGTCAAAGCCTTTTTATCGGAAACACAATCTACAGAAATCTCAATTTATAATCTAGACGGCTAAATGCATTCAGTCATTCCACAATTCATACATATATTTATGTGAGGTTGAAGCAACACGTTTCCGGATGCACATATTCTATTATACACAGATTTTTGCAAAGTATTCTCCTCCCGTGTTGACGCACGGTTTCATGGGCTCAGACCATTCGGTGAAACAGTTCACTTATACCGTAGCGGATAACGCTTGGACCTGTTCTAACAAAAACCTGCACTGCGGCTGAATGATTCCACGCATCATGCGCTTGACACTTGCTAACAGTAAAACTTTACACAGACCCAGGTATGAACCGCGGGGCGACTGATCAACCTCCTGGACGCCAGAAAATGGCCGACGAGATGGCTACTGTATTTAGTTTTGTTGGTAGAAAGGTCCTCCGTGCTTAAGTCATTTTCTGACGCCTACCAACAGCATCCAGCACTTTGGGCACTCACTGAGTGGCGTACCAGTCTCCGGTCGCCCTGCTTTGCCAGATTACGCTCGTGTAGTATTAGTTGTTATTTGGTCGCTGCGTTGACACTTTACACTAAGATTTCAGAATCATTGATGATGTATAAACTGCATTGGAACGTCTAACATCAAAATTCCAGCAAGGTTCGGCATTAGTTCACGCAAACTGCTTTATCTTCCCCAATGTGCTGATGGGGTACCCGGCGTGTGCATACCTTTCTGAACGAGGGCTTCCCATTCTACAATAGTGCGGGTTGAATTCGATGAGATCCCGGTGTCTTTCGTCCGCTGTTCCGTTATTACCAGCGCACCCACTCCCATCATTTGTTGCACAGCAACAATATTGTTTACTGTGGTGGTCTTCACAAGTCGACCACATTATGTATCATCACGTAGGTACGACTTGCCACGCTTGAATTTCCCATGTCTTTCAAACATCTTTGGCTATAATTCTGCCTAGTTGAAAATCTCATTGTGTAAAATGTCTTGAATAGATGCAACTGAAGTGATGGAGAAGTACCACATGAATGGAACAAGCAAGATGCAAAATTATGCTACTTAGAGGATCCCAGCGATCAAATTTGATTTCACACACACCGGGAGCTGTTTAGTGACACGTTACGATTTTTAGGTGTTGGGTAAAACAATGCCGAATGCTACTTCTGATGGTTCCCAAAGAGAAAGTAGGAGAACGCACTGCTGACTCCCATCATGGATAAAACAGCAATGAAATGCACATTATGAATCATCACATAGATTTCACCACCTGGCCCATGCCCTTTAGTGGAATCCATCCAGTAGACAAAACTGCTCGCATGGTAGTATAACTCAACTGAAAGGTTGAAACAGATATACCTAGGAGTCATCGGTGAACAAGATACGCTTCTGCTTTGATTGATTTGGAAAGCTCTAGATTACCGCCTAACAAAATATGCCACACCTGTTCAACTGCGCAGCATCCTACACAGTGCGTTATTATGCGCAAATGGGTGCATTCGGAGGCCGTTGGACAAAGTGTAAATATGTGAAAGCATTACACAATCGTTTGAATATTGAGCAAGCCGTAGGTGAAATGATATTAGTCCCGTCAATGATGTTCAGCATGCAGATTATGGAAAGTCTGCCATCAACGGTTTTTAAAAGAAAATGATACCTGAACAGCACTACATGGAACTGTTGTCGTTTGGTATACTCCTACTTGTTGTGTGTTCTATTCGGATTTGATAAATAAAACATCAATCAATTGAATCAAACACTAAGTTACGAATTTATTCGCAATACCGTTCATCCACGGTCGACAGCAATTGCGTACTCCATAGAATGATTCCCTCCGCCGGTCTGATTCCAAGGTCACAAACCCACTGGATAAAGAGTTGAATGAAGAAAACACAATACAAATTTATTGCAAGCTAAATACACCATGATGCGGTGCTTTGATTCACGATCGATCAGAGTAAATTTTTAATTCAATGACTCACTGATCGCAAATAAAAAACAGTTTTAGATGAATAAATCGCATCAATAATTCGTGATCATCCCGTCACAGGTTATGTGAGGGGATAAAACCGAAAGGTTGTTTGGAGATTACTGAAATATGGGGATTAGTTCACATTGCTTAAGCATATGTGTGCTGCACACCGCATTCACAGATCTGTGCTTCCGCGGTATCCATTTATGTCCCTTTGTTCGTCTGACTAAGGTGTGAGCTTTTACTGATTGAAAATGAATGTGTGGGCAGGTGGGGATGCGGTAGGTCCGGAACCCAAGGAAATTCGAGAACGTGAATTAGACGCGTTTATACATAGTTCATAAATACATACATATACATTGTTCAGGGGTCAAAATTGAATACATATGACTTCCATTATGGCCGGTTAAGGGGATCCTGAGAAATAGTTTTGAATGCTTCACTTGGGTGAACACCATGGCAAGTGACTACCAAGTGTGCGAGAATGGTACTTTTGGAACCACATTAACTCAGTCAGCGCGGGTGTTCTTCTATGTGGACAGATAACTGCCCTAAATCCCAGAAGCGTCTTATCCAGGCTGTTTAACTTCCCTGGGTTTGCGAAACGTATGCGTTCTTATCTCTTTGTTTTGTACGCGTTTCATCGAGCACCTAATGATACATTTTTGAAGAATTATGAGTTGCTCATTCAAAGTGCCGGGATAAGGTAAACGAGGTAAGTGAAGGAATGTTTGCGGTTCAAGTGCTGACCCGTCGACCAATAAGAAACAGTTAACGTGGTTCTCAATGTTTCTGTTGCTCTGCATATACATCGTTCTACGTACCAAATTGTTCACTTACTTCCACTTCGGATTTTCAGTCCCAGCACTAGAATGCATGAAGGTTCTGTCTTGGAAATACCGTCTGAAATTGATCACAGTGTGGAACGTTAGTAAACAAGAGCTTCAGTTAATGGAATCCATAAACGTTGGAGGTTAACAGCCACGTTATTTTATCCAAAAAATTGAGTAAATTTTGCATTATTTGATTTGAACCAAGTCGTTTCGCTGTTGAACACTTACCCAACATGTAATACCCAGTTACGTCCACAGACCCACCACTGCCTGTAGTATCTCTGGCTTGCCTAATCAGGTGACTATCAGCTTCAGGTTCGTTCTCCATTGCTTCTTCTGAATCCTTTTTTTGGTTTTCTTCTGTGCCCCCTTGTTCAGTTACTTTTTCTTCTCCTTTCGATGGGGTTTTATCTCCTTCATCTTTGCCATTCGTGGATTGTGATGTCGCATCAGTTGAAGCTGCCGTTGGTTCAGCCGTGCTCGTTGATGTGGTAATCCCACCGGATTCCGCACTCTTATCAACCGCCACGATAGATGTGAAAGTAGTCGTTGCACCTGTTGGACACAGTGCTTCCGATTTATCTCCACTGGCCACGTACACACAATCGGTTCCACTCGTCGACTGAAATAGGTTAAATGTTCCAGAGCTCAATTGCCCAATGTCTCATATTTCAATGACGTATATTTTCAAAGGTTCTTGTTCACTTACATTAACAAAGACCTTCACCGATTTACCGGAGGCTGGTTTGACGCGGTACTGGCACCCACTGATACCGCGTTTCACAACAAAGCTTCTTGCATCACTAGATGCAGTAACATCTTCACAATTCTCAGCTGATGATCGGAAGCATGTTTCTTTCATAGAAAAGGCGTTACTTACCGACAATACCACTGATACAGACAGTGATTAACAGGAATTTCACGATATTGGATTTCATATTTTTTGACTCGTAATATGCCATAATCCGCCGGCTTTTATATTGCGTCCCGCATTCTTTCTCGATAAGATGCTAGTGATAGATTACTATCTTTATTTTAGTTCAAGTGATTGCGCAAACACTTCAACCCCAACATATCACACTGCGTTTCTGAATCTGTCAGTCTTCAAATTCAGGGGCAGAGAACTATCTGTTTCCAGTAACTAAACTCCTGACGTCAAGATTGGCGCGAATTGTTCTACATGGAATATGTGTATTCCGTCGATAGCATCGATGCACGAGGAATAATGAAAAATCATTATCGGAAAATGGTTTCTGTGATTGGCTGACCTATCGGCCACGGAGAAACGATGTATTTGACAACTCACTGATATTACCCGAGCTAATAAAGTTCTGTTGCTCTAGACATTCCGACAGACTCACGAATAGTGACAATTTCTATCTGATTTTTTTCCAGAAATCAATCGTATTTCTGTCGTTTTCCGTCCGAATGTCACCCATTTACGAAACATTGCATTTTGCTGGCATCTATTCATTCTACTATTTATCGAACTACAATTGGACTGAATAACGTTTATCGAGCCGGGTCACATGATTAACATTTTTCGCATTCCGTTAGGATACCGCAGAAAGCAGTTGGGGTATCAATTTTAACGACGCCTGTCCTGATACATCGATACTTATGCAATTCTGGAATGTTTGCCTAGGTTAAGTAGACAGGTTACAGCCTAAACAACACAGTTTGGCGGCCCGCAATCAGTGAAGGACGAAAGGGAATAATCGGTCTTTAAATCTTCTCTGTTTGTCTCTGCGAAACGATCACTATCAATCGCACATGCAGAAGGGTTTCCCTCAGAGTACAGCAAGTTTATTCCATCTGGGTTAAATTTAGTGTTTTTTTATTCAATTGCAAGTGTTGTTGTTAACTGTTTTGAAGTGACGCAACAAGACGCACACACCATTTCATCTGGGTCACAATCGAATTAGTTTACATATATCAATTCATTTCTTTATAAATCAAAATCTATATGACATCTGCAATTTTCCACCAATAAACGACTGAAATGTGAAAACAGTATATGGGACAGCAGAAGAATGATCTCTGTATAATCTTCCAAATGACACCACAATATTGAATCTGTGTAATTGTACAATATCAACGCAGAACTTGAGTAGCTTACGCGACGTTCGTTGTTTTCGTCAATTATTCAACTACTAATCTTACCTCCAATTTTACTTTCACATTTTGTAAGATGGTTCATTCAGAACATATCGAATAGTCTTACTGAATGCACTTTTGAAATTCCAATGCATCTTCCATTATGGTCTTCATTTTTGTAAACCATTCAGTTCCAAATGACGAATACATACGCGTCTGCACATTTCAGAATGGTGATAATTTTGTTGCGTCCTGTGAAGTGGGGTTTTCACGTGGTTGCCGTTTAAAAAGCTTTTCCATTAAAATGGCGTTCATCTGCATTGACCTTCTAGTCTAGCGTTAAAATATTGTTTAGTTTCCGTTGAGCTAAATGACGATGCCTAATTGAATAATTACTCAGAAGAAACTTGCGAGTTTACTGCAGGGCCTATTCGAGGATTAATACAATATTTCAATCCAAGCTAGAGTTCCGGTTTTGTAATTACTTAGGACAACTTATGGTAGATATCTAACCGGTTTCAAGAGTATTCGAATTGGTCGATTCCACCAAGTTGCCCAACTGTTAGTTCACCTTTCCAGACGCATCGGCTGTCGCTCGCCTAACAACATCGACTTAGAAATTAATCAACTTCACACGGCTCAAAAAAGAAGGTCGTTGGAAACACACACTTTATCCGATGCTGTCTGTGGGTAGATCAATTACTTTCTGAAGCTGTCACAATACCACCTGGCAAGTAGCCCAATGTAGTATTGTCAAGCTGACTCTTTCGGCAGTCCGCAATTGGCACTAATGAACATGGAGCTTTTTCCGCTTGGAGCACATGCTAACGAATTAGGATCGGTCCAATTGATTGAAAAGTTTGCTGAGTTATTTTGAAATACCTTTGGTGCACATTAAGACACACGCCGACAGAAGCTTACTAGGTCAATGGAAACATGTTTTTCTAGCGGGACCGGGAACAGAGAATCCAGTAGGTTTGGAGTGAATGATTAGTATCCGGGGGTTTACTGTTGTATCTCCTCCGATTCATTCTGCACATCACACAGTATTCATGATGACGATAAATTATTAAAAGTACCAGTCATAACTTCACAACTGTCTCGGTTTTATCAACGAGGAGTGAAGGTAAAAAGTGTCTCTTTTTGCTTACATCAATTGGATTTCCATCTTTAAATAGGGACTTCTTCTGCCAACGTGAATAAATGAGATAGGATCACGAGGACCGTAGTAGTTTTGATCGAATTGATGCGTTGCCTCAAGCAAATCATGTGCAATGGAATATGCTGGTGTTTGTCTGATCAACGACATTTGACCTGTCTCAGATTGACTAAACAATCTCCTATTGAAGGTCATGTGAAAGCGCTGTCCTACGATTTGCTAGAAATTTAGATTGAAAGATCAGAATGTATTGGGTTTGAGAAAACAACGGTGAATTACGCATGTATTTCGGCTGACTTCCACGGTTCGGTTACTCCGTGAATNGTAGTTATTTCAAGGCACATGTAGGTAACTTTAATTTGTACAGGTCACGTACGTTCTGGTTATGGCAAAAAACAATAATTTGCTGGGCCCTAAAAGTGAGTATGTCTTTCCGATAAGGAATCTTTTGGGACACCATCAACCGCATTCCCAAAATTATAGCTTGTGTCATCTGAATCTGTTTAATCGAAGGTTTATGTTCATTGGAACTCTTAGAACTCAACATGCAAACACAAAACTGAATTGCGCAACCGGTTGACTACCACTGGCCGTTGATTATTATGAGTTTCAAAAGAATGCACACAAAAGCAAATCCATCGTGCTTGAACTGTGATTCCGGTCCCTTGATTTTCGTTCCATCGCACTCCGATACATTATCTTTATCAACATATCCGTCACCGGGGTTGATTCAAAGCCACGTGTCTATACATGTGAAGGTATGAGCCTGAACGATTACTTTAATTGGTGAATCTGAAATTGGAAAAAATTCCATTATCGTATATTCCATTTACCAGTTATTTGCCGGGAAGCATTAGTTTTCTCCTGAATCCACATATACCACTGGCGATCCACGACTATGTTCTTCCATGAAACAAACCACTATAATTCGTTCACCAATGTTCATCGGAACACACTGAGATGGACACAATTTAATATTTTGCTATAAAGCATTCCGGAAAGAGCTTTGCACCTGAACGAAGCTGAAAGCTGAAGGACATATTCTGACATCACAAATAGTGCTTATTTCACGTTGAAGAATAAAGGCGTTTTAAGCTGATTTTCGAGCAGAAGTCATGGGTCATCCCAAAGTGTTCTAAATCATACACTGAATTCAGTTGATTGTTCTGTGAAGCTATTCACGTAAGGTTAGTGAGTTCACAGAATTCTGCAACAGTTTCCATGCGTCACGTGGGACAACCGTTCATACATGAACCGTTTTACAACGATCAACAGAATCAACTACAAAATAATGAGTGATAAAAAGTACTTCAAACAACAGCCAAACTGTGGTGTTCATTATTCCGCCACAGGTCCTTCCGAAGTTTCGAGGCTATTCTCCACCGGGCGGTGGTCGCCCGCTGGTAACGCCATCAATAATCATCTCGGATTACGTGTGATCAAATCCCACCCCTCCCGTCGATCTTAAACCATTATGTGTTGGGCATAGCTGCCCTTTGATTTACCGTTTCTTCTTCTATATCTTTGAAAAGAAATGAAATCAATGTATATGATCAACCACGGATCAGTCAGAAAAAATGAAAATGCAATCAGTAAAATAAGCAAACGATTATGCACCTGTTCTATTATCATCCAGTAGAACCCATTAAGCTGTATTCTTAAGTGTCGAGACAGTGGGTAGAATGGGTTAACACACCGGGCAATTATTGAATTATGGTTGAATCGAGGTGAAAGAAGCGGTTTTGATTTGTGATCCCTTGTAGAATGAATTTGAATGGTTAGTAGAATGCCGATCAAACTCTTCCTTGCGCATGCCTACAAGGTTCGCTAGAACCCATAACATCACAGAGGCGAATACAAGCAGGAAGAAAATGTGGGATCACGGGCAGAAGGACGATTAGCCAAATGGTTCTTTCTAAAAAGTGAGATTCGTAGTCTCACGAGTTCAAAAGAACTAAGAGTGATTTTGAGCGCAACTTTCCAACAGCAAGATGAAAATGAGGAAATGAAATTGTGTGATCAATATAATCATTGGGTAGATGCATTATTATCGTGGAAACGTGTGCGTATCTAAANTTGGCTAATGGACATAGATGCAATTTAATTGAAACAGCAGAATACTCCATGGTAAATCTCGTGCATAGTTTCAGTAACGAAAGTTGTGGTGGTGATATCTTGTAGATGATGAACGAACTATGACAATGTCTGTGGCCATGACATTTATCATGATTCTCATCCTACTCGAACATAGATACGTGTTAAGCTAATACATTTCAACACTGTCGAAGCCATCAATGTGTAACCTGAAACAGGTGCTATAAGCTCTTTTGTATTTATTGAGAACTGGCAACGGAGCGTGATGAAAAAAATTAGAATTTCCAGTGTGAAACGAGAGCGTTAGGAATTGAATTGCTTTTGATACTGTAAATAAAATTGGGAGTAGATTCTGAAAAGCTTTTGTACAAATGCGCGGAATGCTAACGAACTATTTTTGAGGATCCGTGTTCCATTTACCACTACTCGAGTGGAGCCACACTGGTCGTGACATCACTACCGTGTTACTTCCCCTCTCAGTTCTTGCTCCTTTTGAATTGCACTCAACACAACTCAGTGGGAATTCACATCGGGCGTCCTACGAGTTCGAGGAAACAAGGAACGATTTTTTTTATTCACTGCTGTAGAACGAGCTGTTACACAATTCCATCA